ACACATTTAATTGCGGATCTTGATGAGCCTTGTATAGCATAATTCCAAGCTATATCATTTCGTTTATTACTATCGGATGACATTTCAACGCTGTTTTATTGAAAAAAAAATTATCAAGTCAATATGCAATTAATTCTACTCTATAAGAGACTATAAGTCAATAATTGAGCAAAAAAACGGGGCCTGAAAGAAACAGAAAGTTTGTTAAGAGAAGAAGCAACCTCTGTTATTTTGCAAAAACAGGGCTTCGAAACAACCTCTGTTATTTCGCAAAAACAGAGCTTCAAAACCTCTGTTATTTTGCCAAAACAGAACCAAAAAAAATAGAGCACAAAAACAGACCTCTCTTTCTGTTAAGAGAAGAAGAAACCTCTGTATTTTGCTCGAAAAATAGAGCAGAAAACAGAACTCTGTTTCTGTTCTTTTCGACAAAAAACAGAGGAAAAAAAATAGAAAGAAGAAGAAGAAGAAGAAGGAGAAAGGAGAAAGAAGAAAGAAGAAAGAAAAAAGAAGAAAGAAGAAAGGAGAAGAAGAAACCTCTGTATTTTGCTCGAAAAATAGAGCAGAAAACAGACCTCTGTTTCTGTTCTTTTCGACAAAAAACAGAGGAAAAAAAATAGAAAGAAGAAGAAGAAGAAGAAAGAAGAAAGAAAAAAGAAGAAAGAAGAAAGGAGAAGAAGCATACCTGGACTTTCAATGGCTGGAACCTCAAGCTTCTGAAAGAAGAAGACGATGGCTCGCGAGTTCAGAACGTCAAAGTCTCAAAGAAGCTCTGTTGTTTTGTTCAAGTTGAAGAAGATATGTTGTGAAGCCCTAATCACGACCCTTTTTGTTGAGTCTTTGCTTTTTTTCTTTTTTTTTTAAAAAAAAACAAAAGGCGACGCTATGGTCGCTTCTCGCGACACTGTCGCCTCTCGCCACGCAGGCAGAGGCGAGCGCTATTTCGAAACGCAACGCAACAGAGGCTCTGTGGCGACACTGTCTCGCCTCGCCTCGCCTCACGCTATTAGCGCTGAGGCGAGCGCTATTTATAACACTGGTCACGATCCAAGCCCATGACACGTATTGTCTGCTTTGGGCCTAAGCCCGCACGAGTTTGTCTTTTCGGGCTTAATGTAATGCCCTTGAGGGAAGGCGGGTCAAGCGATATTGGCAGACTTCTAGACCGGCAAACTTCTGAAGAAGGGGTGCACATGACACCTTAGGCGAATTCCACGTTGGAATGGGAAACGAACGTGAAGAGCCTTATAAGGCATGACACAAGTTCACATGGTACGCGCGTTTTTGGGGCTGGAGGTGGCGTAGCCCAAAAAGACAAATCCGTTCGGGCCTAGGCCCAAAGAGACAGAGGCGGATCTAGGATTTTTAGTACATGGGTGCACTACAAAAAATGAGGGAAAAATATATTAAGTGAGAACGACCGGCGAAGGTAAACAAACTCGCTGCTAAGAATGCGGCGGAGTTGCTGAAAGAAGCCATAGGTGTAGGAACTTCAATCCAGCTAAAGAAGTCCCCTACTCCAACACTGAATGTAGGGAAGAGTCAAAATGGTCAAACTCCGGTGACCACACCTATACCTGTACAAAATCAGCAAACACCGACGGGAGTGACGACTGCTATAAGTTCAAATGGGAAGGCACTGATGGACGTAACACCAAACAATCGAACAATTATGAAGTAAGGGCGTAAGGAAGCAAACTTGGAGAATCTGCCTAGATCTGGGAATAAGGCGGAGGAGGCCGGCGCTGCGCAAAAACAGAGGGAGATGGATGCAGATCAACCAAAAGAGGTACCAAAAACCCAGGCAACACTATTCAATGAGAACAAATTCACTGCTAGAGGTATGGAATTGAAATACATTGCACCAATTATTGTAGAGGGTGAATTGATGGCTCAATTATAGCAAGAGGAGATTGACAGAGAAACAACAAAATGGAAACATGCTCTAATTATGTATGTAGTTGGGAATTCACCTACTATTGCAGCAGTGGAGAGGTTTATTGCAAGTAATTGGAACTATATTGCAAAACCCAAAGTCTACTATCACAATGAAGGCTTCTTCCGCATAAAGTTTGGGAGCATAGCTGATAGAGATGAGGTTCTCTTCTCTGGTCCTCACACAATGAATAATATTGTTAAGATATGGGAGGCTGATTTTGACTTCAACAAGGAGGTGCTCCGAACGATTCCCTTGTGGATTAAGATGCCCAATCTTCCACTTAGTTACTGGAGTATGAATTCATTAAGCAGGATAGGTAGTGTGTTGGGACGTCCAGTTTATGCAGATGAATGCACTACGAATGTTGATAGGGTCTCCTATGCAAGGATGCTTATTGAAATAGATGTTACAAAGCCTTTACCAAGACTCCATTAAAGCAAGAGATCCTATGGGGAAGGTATTTGACCAAGAGATAAAGTATGATTGGAAACCTACTTATTGTCCATCTTACTTATAGATTGGACATAGATGCTAAGATGATGGGAAAAAAATAGCCACTCAGCCTGATCAAGGGAAGCAGGGGAATATGTGGGTAAGGAAAAATGATGATATCCAGGATCAACCTCAAAACAGCCAACCTACTCGAGGGGGAGATCAACAGATAGGAATGCTTGGAGTAATGAACAAGCAGGTGCAGGTCCAGAATGATACAACTAAAAACAAACAGCATCGGACTCAAGAGGATCAGTGGACAGAGGTTAGAGGCAAATCAGCAAGTCGAAGTGGTCAGACTGCCTTCAAAAATGGTAATCTGGCAGTAACAAATGCATTCAGCTCTCTAGGATTACCAAGTACACAACATCAATCACAGGTGGATGAGGTGACTGGAGAAGCTCGTGGACAATGTAGTTATCTGGGACTAGAGGATAAACCCCCTGACTCTGAATGTTGAAGCTCATTACATGGAATGTCAGAGGCCTGGATAAAGTATATAAGCAGGCAGAGTTAATAAAGTTTCTGAAGCATAATAAGGTAGGATTGATTGTAATACTAGAACATAGGGTACAAGGAAAACATGTTGAACAAATAATTAAAAGGATAGCCCCAGGTTGGCGTTGGTGTTCAAATTATGATGCAAATGGAAGAGGTAGAATATGGATATTATGGAATTCGAATGAAATTGTATTCACTGAAATATATACTCACCCACAGCTTATTCATGGGGATATGAGGATATGTGCTTTGAATGTGGGGTTTCAACTAACTATAGTCTTTGGTTTGCACACTGTGGCTGCTAGAAGGCCACTATGGACTGAGCTAACATCTATTGCTCGCGTACAACAGGAGGCCTGGGTTGCCATGGGAGACTATAATGCTATAAGGCACTATGATGACAGAATCAAGGGGAATCCTGTGCAGGAACATGAGGTGGCTGATTTCAAGAGATTTATGGTGGACACTAATATGGTGGAGCTTAAAACAACAGGAAGAAGATATGCATGGACTAATAACCATGTACTTAGCAAGATTGATTGGGTGCTTGTCAATAGTGAATGAATGACTACTTGGACACATGTGGAAGCTACAACCCTAGATCCTTATTTTTCAGGTCACACTCCTCTAGCTATAGAAATAGGAGGGAGAGTATTCAAAGGGGCTAGACCATTCAGATTCTTCAATCATTTGGCACAACATCCTGATTTTCTCTCATTGGTGAATAACCAATGGAATTGTGTACAACAAGTACGAGGGATGGAAGCAATTTGGTATAAACTGAAATAGGTCAAGCATGAACTAAAGGCACTAAACTGCGGAGAGTTTTCAAAAGTAACTGAAAAGGTGGAATATTACAAGAAAGAGTTGGCTGAAATACAACATGAGACAAGAGATCCCCAGAAGCAGGTAGAACTAGCTGAGGAGGAGATGGAATTGAAACAACAACTGGAAAAATGGGTGCTAATTGAAGAAAGCATTCTTAAGCAAAAATCAAGAGTGAAATGGCTACAATTAGGAGATGCTAATAATGCCTATTTCTATGCTTGCATGAAGAATATGACTGCTCATAACCAAATAAGAAGACTCAACACCACGGATGGTAATATAGCACAGACTGAGAAAGAAGTGGAGATAGAAGTTGTCAAATTCTATCAAAAGCTACTTGGGGCTGCAGCTGATATATTACCAACAATTCAATTGGATGTACTTGATGAAGGACATAAGCTGACCAGAGATCAACAACTGAAATTGATAGAACTAGTCTCTAGGGAGGAGGTATACAATGCAGTTGAGGACATTGATGACCAGAAGGCTCCTGGATGTGATGGTTTCAACTAACATTTCTTCAAGAAAAGCTGGCAGGTAGTAGGAGAAGAAATCATCTATGCTGTTATGGATTTCTTTCATACAGGCAATATGTTTAAACCTATCAACTGCACATCAGTAACACTTGTGCCTTAGGTGAAGAACTCTCTAACAATAAAAGAGTTTAGGCCCATCTCTTGTTGTATTGTGCTATATAAAATCATCTCGAAGATCCTCACCAAGAGACTACAACTGGTAATGCCTATTTTGATTGACCAAAGCCAAGCAGCCTTTGTGCCAAGCAGAATCGTAAGTGATAATATCATCTTAAGCCATGAACTCATAAAAGGGTATGGAAAGAAAGGTATTTCCCCTAGATGTATGATTAAAATTGACATGCAGAAGGCGTATTACTCGGTGGAATGGATCTATATTGAACAAATGTTGCATGGGCTACACTTTCCTGTTAAATTTACCAATTGGATTATGAGCTGTTTAAGGACATTCTCTTATTCAACCATTATTAATGGCAAGCCTAGTAGGCCATTCACTGCTAAGAGGGGTCTAAGGCAAGGGGACCCTATGTCACCTTACCTGTTTGTGATTGTGATGGAATACCTGAGTAGGCTGCTGAAGCAATTGACAAAGAACCCTGCATTCAAATTCCATCCTAAGTGTGCCAAGAATAAGATTACTTAGCTAGGATTTGCGGATGATCTTCTGCTGTTTTGCAAGG